CCTGGTCGGATTGGTAGGGGGGAAGGGACATAGACAGTTTTTGTAATATCCCATAAGATCGCTAGCAGGGGGGAAGGAAACGCGTGACAATTAGGTACCAGACATTTTTTTTAGATAGGAGGTAGACATTTGTCACCTTTAAATTTTAGGTGGGCTCATCTTTCTGTTTTTATTACTTTTTCTTGCTTAGATTTTTGTTGCATTTTGGTGAGGATTTGTGTTAAAATTTTGTACGAACAGGTGATCACAAGATACCTGCGCACAGGTTTTGGTCTCAAGTTACTTGGAACATTGAAAGAGAGGTAGCCAAAAAGAGAAATAAGAAAAAGGGGGATCAGCATTTGGCTTTTAAGAGAGGATTTTGGGAAAATTTTACTAGAGCTTGAGTGGTGGTACAAGGTACGGCGAATCAAGAAGTCCCCATAACGAAGAGGAAAGAAGTCCCACCACCCAGACACTTGTCAACAGTCTTGGGACAGTGCCGAAGAAGTCTTAGGACAGAGCAGTCTGGGGACAGTCTTGGGACAGTACAGTCTTGGGACAGTGGTCTTGGGACAAGGGTCTTGGGACAGGGTCTTGGGACAGGGTCTTGGGACAAGGTCTTGGGACGGGGTCTTGGGACAAGGTCTTGGGACGGGGTCTTGGGACAAGGTCTTGGGACAAGGGTCTTGGGACAGGGTCTTGGGACAAGGTCTTGGGACAGGGTCTTGGGACAAGGTCTTGGGACAGGGTCTTGGGACAAGGTCTTGGGACAAGGTCTTGGGACAAGGGTCTTGGGACAGGGTCTTGGGACAGGGTCTTGGGACAGGAGTCTTGGGACAAGGGTCTTGGGACAGTAGTCTTGGGACACTAGTCTTGGGACACTAGTCTTGGGACACTAGTCTTGGGACAGTAGTCTTGGGACACTAGCCTTGGGACAGTAGTCTTGGACAAGAGTCTTGGGACACTGCCGGAAAGTACTGGGACGGTACCGAACAGTCTTGGGACAAGAGAAAGAAGCCTGGGACGGTACAAAGAAGAGTAGGGACGGCAATTGGAAGTCTTGGGACAGTATGAAATTGAAGTAAAATTACAAGAAGTGTTTTAAGACAGAATTAAGATAGAACAAGACTAATTGGAACCAGGTACGGTTGGGACCACAAATAAGGAAAGTTTCTCGAAAAGATAACAAAGAGAACTGAAACAAGGTTTTCACCACGTTGTATATTTTTTTTTAAGAAATTTTTTTTTTCTCGAAAGATTTTATTCTTAGAATAGGATTGTGTATATAGTAAAATTGTAAATAAGAGCAATTGTAAATAGAAATAATGAGGCGGAGCAGGGTACCGGTAGCTGAAAAAAGACCTACCGAAGCAAAGTATAATTCGTCGCTACGCAAAACAACATCAATGGGCCCAAAGATAACAAAGAAGAACTTTTCAGTTAACATGGTCAGCACAAGGAGTACAACGGAGAGAGCAAGAGAGGGCATGGAAGGGGAACGAGTAGAACCCACCATCGAGATTGATCTAGAGACACCTGATCAAAGTGTTGATGAAACAAGGAAAATAGCGACGGAGTCAACTCCAATGCCCAATGCAGAAGAACCAAACTCGAAACCCATAGAATTCTCACCAATAGACAACGTGGAAGATGCAATAGGCAACACCGAAGAAACGGTGAAAGAAGACTCTCAAGTAAAAAAGACATCTTTTACAGAAAGGTTGGCGATGATGGTCGGAATAAAAACGAAAGAGAACGTGACTGAAGAACCAAAAGCCGAAAGAGCACGAACATTTGGAACAGTGAGCACGAAGACGACAGAAGCCAATCCGAGAGAGGAGCAAACTAGAGCAGAAGCGACGGCCGAAGAAAGACCGACGGCTGACCATGAAGAGGCTACTCTTGAGCTAGGTGACTTGATGGCGAAACTGAATCAGATCGACAAAAAGCTGAAGCACAGCGAAGAGGACAGAGAAGTGATAAGAAAAGAATTAAGATACAACAAAAACGAGTATCTGGATAGTTATTTTAACCTGGCCAAGGCAACAGAAGAGAGACTCAAGGAAATGTCAGATAAGGTAGAAGCCACCAATGAAGAACGAGAAAAGAACATCAAAACAGACATGCAACAGTTGAAGAACCGATATGATGATGTCAACAGCCAATTAGGGAGCCTGGAAAGGAGAATGGACACAATGAGCAAGAGTCAAGCCGAGAGTTCGTGTGCAATACAGGCGAAGTTGGATGCAATCTTGAGAGGTTCTACTCCACAAGAAAGACAGGCAGCGGATCGTACGCAAGGCACCAGAGTTGACTTTGTAGAACCACAAAGGAACAAACGGCAATCGACACCGTTGCCCTTAACCAGGGATGCGATAAGCATAGCACCAACAGCTGCTAAAACAATCATGAAGAATGGAATGTCAAGTACAACGACTGGTCCGGGGGACTCAACAGCTAACAGCAACGCAGGTCCGGATGCTATGACATGGGCAAACACTTGGGAGATGATGAACAGGACTCTAGAGGCCTTCGCCACGAGGAACACTAACTCGAGCGATAGGAGAGATGGGAAATCAAGAAAAACATTCAAGAAGCCAAAAGAATTCAAAGACGACTCAGATGGATGCATTGACACGTGGGTGGAAGTGATGAGATTACATCTAGAGCAAGACAACTTGAACGATGAAAGACAAGCATGCACAGCCATACTCAGCAATTTAGAAGGCACAGCATTAAAATGCGTGGTTGCGAAGAAAGAAGAAGAACGCGATACCGCGGACAAGATCTTCGAGATATTGCTGAATCGATTCGGGTCAGGCATGAAGGGTCACCAAGCGATGATGCGATTTGAAAAGAGAAGGCAGAGGGACGACGAGTCAATAGATCGGTTCCTAGATGATCTCGAGAGCTTGAGAAGAAGGAGTGACCCAGAGGAGTCGACAAACAGAAGAAACTTTAGCATTGCCTCGAAGTTCATTGATGGGGTAAAAAGTGACGACTTAAGGACAATGTTAGCAACATACTACACATTGTCGAAAGACAGCGCACCAACCCCCGAAGAAATGAGACAGAAATCAAGGGAATACATGCTGATGAAACCCAAGAAATACTCGTATTCAGAAAACAGGAACACGCAAGGGGGAAGTCAACCGCAGAGGTCGTCATGGTACAAACCTAGAGATGACATGGACAAGCGCAGATCATGCGCGAACTGCGGGTCGGCGGATCACCACGTGGCTGACTGCACAACATACAAACAAGGCATGAAGAGTCTAGGATATGCACCAGATGAGGAGGACATGAGCCAGATGGAGGAACACGAGTACTATAGTGGCTTAATCATCAAGATAGGCGCAAGATGCTTCTTCTGTAACCAGGAGGGGCACTTCCGAATGGATTGTCCCTTGTTCTGGGAAGCGGTCAAGGACCAGAGTCACCCTAAACATAAGTTGGCATTAGCGGCGGTGCAGAATCAGCGGAACAGGCAAAACGAATTTGAATCGAGGAACTTAGGAGCACCAAGCACGGAATTGCCGACGAAGACAGTGAAAGCTGTATCACATGTTAATGATGCCATAGAATCCGCGGCAGGGAACTCTCTAGAGATAAATTATGAGAAAGCGGCCACGGAAGCAATTGCCAAAGTGAAACAGGATCTGGCTGCGAAAGAAATAGAGCAACGACTAAAGCTGGAGATAGAAAGACAGAATTTTAACGAAGCATTAACCGGATCGAAACAAATACCAGAGGCTGTACCGGGCTCAACAAAGACCGGGAATTGCAATACTGTGAAAATGGTGACAGGTAAGCCTTTTGGCATATCGAAAATCGGGACAAGGATAATGTCGATAATCACAGTGGGCGGCCACGAGGTAACCAGAAACTTGAGCGAGCCGAGCGACCAGACAATAATGCACATTGACGTGTATGCAGACTATTTGAGTGGTATAAGCCCACAAACGACTTCTAGAGCACTGAGAGCACTACTCATGAGAGAGGGCAGCAAGTCGGTACGTGTTGATAGCAGATATACTGAAGCTTACGGTCCACACGAGGTGATGCTAAATATAGATGGGATTAACATCTATACCAAGACGATGATAACATGTGACGAAGACCTGATTGGACAAATCTACGTAGGGAAAGAAGAATTGAAAGTGAGATCGATTGGACACTGCGCCATGCTTGAGGAAGATGCAATGCACATCGGGACGGAGGCAGATGTGACAGGGCACGTGCTGGATATAAGTGGCAAAAAGACTCAGTTGCGTGGGTTGCTTGACACGGGAGCAGTCTTGAGCGTTATACCAATCGAAACTTGGGAGAAGATGGGCTTTGACAAAGGTGACTTGATAGACTCGAGAATACGGCTGTCAGCTGCAAACAAAGGGGCCCTACGGGTGCTGGGCAGGACGCCGATAATAGCCCTCAATTTGGGGGAACGTAACCTGTGGATGAGCTTTATCGTGGTAGAAAACCTAGATGAATCTGACCAATTCATTTTGGGCGGAGACTTCATCAGGAATTTCGACGTAACGATTGATTTAAATAACGCAATGTTCAGGATACGGAACCCGGATAGGAGGTACGCAATCAAACCGGTAAATTTAATAATGGCAAATGAAAACAAAGCACCGGTATTCTTGAGTAGGAGGGTGAGGCTAAAAGCTAATGAAGCGGCAATCGTAAGTTTGAGGATGAAAAATTACAATGAACTAAGTGACAACAAGCAAGTGTGCATAGTTCCGAATCCTAATAGTCAAAGTGCTGCTGTTTTAGGAAGATCATTTTCGATAACGAAGAGCGGCCTCTGCGTCAGTGTCTTGTTGAATACCCTTGATATACCGATCACGATACAAAGAGGGAGGAAACTGGGATATGCTTTACCGGTTAAAACTCGATATGAAACAATTGAGAATTCAAAACAAAATGAAGTTGTTGATTGCCCCAATCACAGGGACAAAATTTGTATCTTGAGACGATTGCAGAAAATAAAAGATTCTTCAGGTCTTATTAAATCACTTAAGTCAGAAACGGATGATGGTCTTTCGAGCTGTTCGAACTTTCCAGAGCGACCCACACTAGATGAAATGCAAAATGAAAAACCGGTCCTGCCGGAGATTGAACATTTGAGGGGCAAACTGAAAGATGAACAGCTCGAAGCCATCAAGGACGTACTAGAGCGGAACGAGGAAGTTTTTTCGAGGCATAAGGCGGATATCGGGTGTTTTAATTTCGTTGAGCATGAAATAGAACTTGAGGAAAACGCGGTACCACACAGGGAGGGGGCGAGGCGATGACCCCACACCAATCGGACGCGTGTAGAAAAGAGATCGAGAAGTTACTAGAGTATGACATGATAGAACCATCCAAGTCACCGTGGGCGTGTGGAGTAGTGATGGCCAAAAAGAAAGGCGACCAGTTGAGGTTTTGTTGTGACTTTCGATACCTGAACTCCGTCACGGTGAAGGATGCCTATCCCATACCTAGGATTGATGAGAGCCTCTCGAAGTTAGGTGATGCAAAATTTTTTACGACTCTTGATTTAGGCTCGGCCTTTTGGCAAGTACCACTAAGGAAGCAGGACAGGGACAAGACAGGGTTTGCCTGCGAGTTGGGTCTGTTTCAATGGAAACGGATGCCGTTTGGACTTTGCAATGCCACAGCCACATTTCAGCGGTTGATGGCACACGCGCTGATAGGCGTAACGAAGAAGTATGGCAATCTGGTAATGTGCTACGTGGATGACGTGGTAATAGCGACGCCAACACTGGAAGACCACATTGAGAGACTAGACGAAGTGTTTGCATGCATGAAGAGGTCGGGGCTAAAGTGTAAACCATCAAAGTGCGAGATACTCAAGGACTCAATAAAATACTTGGGCAGGATGGTAGACAAGCACGGCATCAGACCTGATACGGACGCCGTGGAAGCAGTCCTGACCTGGAAATCACCGAAGACAGAGCACCAAATGATGAGCTTCCTGGGTTTCGCTAACTATTATAGAGAGTTCATCAAAGGCTATGCAGACAAGGTATACCCGATGCAACAATTAATGAGACACAAGGGCAAGAAGTTCACGTGGAACAACGCAGCAGAAGAGTCATTCCAGAGGATAAAGAAAGAGCTATGTGAGGCACCAGTACTGGGTATGCCGACTGAGAAAGGGATGTACGTGCTAGACACGGATGCGTCGGTAGTCGCGATTTCTGGGATTCTCCACCAAGAACAAGAATGGAATGGGAAGACAGTCTTGAGACCAATAGCGTACGGGAGCAAAGTCCTGAGTGACACGGAAATGAAGTACGGAGCACCGAAAGCTGAGATGTTCGCGGTGGTTACCTTTGTCGAGAAATACAGGGCGTACCTGGGCAGTGAGCCATTCAAGTTGCGAATCGACAACAGAGCACTGAGCTGGCTGAAAACGTACTCAATGGACCAAAGTTACATTGGGAGGTGGATAGTTCGCCTGGACGGATACAACATGATAATTGAGCATAGAACGCGAGATAAACATCAGAATGCCGACAGCTTGAGTAAGAAGACGGAGTTCTATGAGAGACAGGAGCAAAGAGAAGCAGACAGACCTGAAATCAAAGATGGCTTCTCATTCATGAACAAGGAAACGTACGACAGTCTTCCACTCACGAGATGGCTGGACAAGTCAGGCAAACCGATAGAAGATCATCCTGAATTGCCTAAAGAGCCTCCAGAGAAGACCATCTTGAGGAAGAGCAAGAGGATTCCGATTGAGATTATACTCAAGTAGAAGATCGTGAAGGAGACGCTCAAGGCAAAAGGCTATGATCTTAGCCAGGTGGAAGCAGGAACTGCACAGATAGATGATGACTTAATGAGGTTGCTCGAGAAACTATCAGATGATAAGCCAGTGATCCAGGAGAAGGGTAAAGAGAAACCGGAATTCACTATACTTCGGAGAAAAGAGACAGTGAACGATACTGACTCATCAAGAGGAAGCGTCACTGACAGCAAAGATGTCGTGCGGTCACTAGTTGACAAAATCCCCGAAGACATTCTGGAGCAGACCAAGGTTAGGAAAAAGAAAGTGACGTTCAAGGAAGATACTGAACACCTGGGACTAGGTCAAGAGTCCGGGGAGTGTTCCAGGTTCACGGAAGAAGGAACCGGAGAAGGAAAATTGTCCGGGGAGCGTGAAGGATGGGATGAAGACTCGGATGAGAGCAGCGAAAACCAGGACAGTCTGTGCATGATACTGGCGGAAAAGAAGACAAGGCACCACGACAGGGAGTTACAGACGGATCCATCTTCAGGAACATACAACATGGACATACAGGAGATGCGAGGTGGTGAGGAACTTGAGAAAATTGCGGTCGCAAGGAAACCATTCAGGGAACTATCATGCAACTCAAACATCAGAACGAATCTGGTGCCAGAAGATGATATGAAAATCGTGAAAAGGATGATATGCGTGAAACTGAGTGATGACATCCACAACCCTGGTGAGATGAATGGACAGATCATGGCGCTAAAGGAGCATGTCAAGGCAAGATATAGGCTGTCAGACCTGATAAGAGCCCAGAAGAATGACAAAATGACAAGTAACCTCTCCAAATGGATCCAGTCGGGGGTCAAGGAGAAGGGGGAACTTGAGGAAGACAGCTACAAGATCTTGAGCCAGTTCTACAAAGAAAAGAAAGACTTACTTTATCACACAGCTGATGGAGTGGTAGCGTGCAAGAGGAGAGATGAGGAAAAGATATTACACAAACACAACCTCATCATACTACCACAATTGTACCAGACAGAGGTGCTTTTCAGATCACACGACCAGATGGGTCACCAGGGGATAGACAAAGTACAACAAAGGATACTTCACAGATTTGATTGGCCAGGAATGAGAAAAGCTTGCGAGAGATGGGTGAATGCCTGCCTGGCATGTCTCCAGGTAAAAGACCCAAGGAAGATGAAGTTTCCCCTCAAGTCCGTTGAGAGCTCGGAGTTCAATGAAGTGGTGCAGATAGACCATCAAAAAATCTGCATGACAGAGTCGGGATACAACCAGATACTGGTTATAATAGATCACTTCACAAAGTTGGCGGAAGCGGTTCCGTGCCAGACAGCCTCGGCCGAAGAGACATGTGATCATCTGATAACGCATTGGATATCGCGGTATGGTTGTCCAATGACTTTCCAGTCGGACAACGGCAAAGCTTTTGTGGGGGACTTGACAAAAGAATTGATGAAGAGATCGCACATTGCTCAAGCACACTCGACGACCTATCACCCGCAGACCAATGGGTTGGTAGAGAGACAAAACAGGACACTGGTCAACATGTTAAGGGTGTACTGGTCAAGATACATGACGGACTGGTACAAATACCTGCCACAGGTAGTAGGAGCCTACAACAGTACACAGCACTCAATTACGGGCATCAGTCCTTTCATGATGTTGACGGTCAGGGAGAGAGCAATGCCTCTGACATTCTTTTACCCGGAATACGAGGGGAAAAGGACGTCGCCTCAGGCATACGTGAAAGAAGCGATCAAAAGACAACAGGAGTTGAACGAGCTATGCAGGAGGAACACGGCGCAAGCGCAAATGAGGCAACGCAGGAAATACGACGAAAAAATATTAAGAGCAAAGCCATATGAAGTGGGCCAATACGTGTGGGTCTTCCAAAATGTAATACCGCCCAAGGGAACAAAGAAACTACTCAAGAAGTGGAGGGGACCATTCATGATAACGGAGGTTCATCAACAAGGACGGTTCTATCGCTTGAGTACTGGGCGAGCGGCACATTATGAGAATCTGAAGCCTCACGTCCCGTCCCCAGAGGATTGGTGCATACCGAAGGACATGGAGGGTCTTGAGTACCTGGTGGTAGAGCCAGCGTGTGAAGTGAATGAGAAAGGTACTGGAGAGAAAAATGATGGTAATGAGAACTTGAGTTTGGACGACAATGAAAAGATAGGAGTGGGGTCTGATGCAGGATCATTTGTAGAAGAAGACTGGAACGACCCGGAGCAAGACGAGGTGCCGAAGTGGATGGAGCCGGATTGACCAACACCACCGGAAACCAGGACTGGCAATCGTAAACGCACCGGCATGAGGTACAACAGGTACGGGGATGACTTCTTGATCGATAAGATACAGCCAGACAATTTGGGCGAGGAATTACTGAAGGCAGGCGAACTGGAAGCCGGAGAGGAATGGCAGGTCATTGACGATGGTGGTCATTATCCGCAGGATGATTACTCGACGCCAGAAGTAGAAACGGATCTCGAACAGAGTGAGATAGAGAGGAGGGAGAACACGAACTTGAGGATTCTAGAGTGGATGCGTGAGGTCAACAGACAGGCCACTGGACATTCCTCAGGACAATTCAGACCCGACAACATCGACGGGGACGTCGATAAATATTTTTGTCCGGGGAGTGGGGGTAGGACTTACCCACACCGAAAATTTGATGATAAAGAAGCTCAAGGAAGTGAGAGAAACGAGCGAATTGGAACTGGAGGAAGAAGAGCCAGAGCCTACTATAGGTCGGAATTTCAAAACGAAATTCGAAATACCCAATGAATACTCGGAGAACATCATGATAACAGATAGCGACTTCATCCTGTCAAACAGGACCAGCGCGATCTGCATCACGGCGGACATGAGTTTCAAATCAAGATTGGAAGCTGACTTCAAAAGAGAGTACCAGAATGTAGAGTTTCTGTTCAGACAGAGACCAGGACTGGGAGGGATGGCAGCGCTTCCACCGTCAGTGGCACAAGTCCCGGGCAAATATCTGTGCTTCCTAGTAACGAGGGTCAATGACAGGAACACAATCGATCCCGAACACGTGATATTGGCACTAACAAGATTACGAGACTTCATGATTGAAAGAGGGATAACAGAAGTCTCAATGCCGGTGTATGACCTGAACAGGGGCAAACTGAGCCCGAGGGAATTGTACGCTATCCTACATGTGGTCTTTGCAGAAACTGAGATAATGGTGTATCTTCATAAGAAGTACTACTTGAGCATCGCC